GTACAAGTGCTAGGCACTTCTTCCTGATGAGAAAGGTGCTAGGCTATTGTTGATATTTCTGCGTGCCATAACCTTGCAATCTGTAATGTATGCCATGTATGGAATTGCAAGCTGCTCTGTTCAGTTTATACTCAACATTAAAGAAGAGCTTCATCTAAACTGTCTAGTGAACATAGTTGATACTTGGTTTTAGTTGTGAGACTCCAAAAGGTCCCCAAAGCTACTCACAAAAGAGGAATGAACTTACAAGAAATCTGGATGAGCACTGTGGCTCAGCAGAGGTTCAAAAGGCTTTGTGTAGTCGCATCATGTGCAGGTCTGAAGCAGGCTCTGCTCTCCCATCGGAAGTGCAACGGGCCAACGGCTGTAGCAGGCAGTGCCAGCTGGTATGTGCACAGGCTGTAAAAACATCTTTAAAGCATCTCACTCTTTGCCATTAAAAAAATAGTATGAAATGAAATGAAATGAAATGAAATGAAATGAAATGAAATAAAATAAAATAAAATAAAATAAAATAAAATAAAATAAAATAAAATAAAACAAAACAAAACAAAACAAAAAAGCTTTTTGATAGACAGGAACTTCTGGAAAATTATATGAACCCTGAAAATACAGGGCTGAAGAAAACTCAAAGGAGTACATGGCAAAAAGGTGCATTAAAATACAGTTCAGCAGTGAGATAAGGGAGATATTGCACGCTTGAAAAGAAGGACCGTGGTCAGTAAAGAACAAGCAGAACAAGATGTGACATCTTTATCACTGGGGGAAAGTTGTTTTCTCCTGTCCTTTCACTGAAAAGCTTTCTTCTATTACAAATAAATAAATAAATAGATAGATAAATAAATAAATAAAAAGAAACAAACAAAATCCACAAAGCACTTGGGTTTCTGCAGGCTGCTTTGCCTCCACAAGTCTGAGCACCTGAGATTCAAAAAGCCCTGCATTTTGAGAAGGACCCTCAGCTAGTATTTATGTACCATGTAAAATTGGTAAAAGGCTTTCTCCGCCCCCCCTCAACCCCCCTTCTTTTTTCCCCCCTGTAGCATACATTGAGTGTCAATTGGTTTTTCTTCTTACCTTTTCCTTTTCCCTCATATTTTATTGGGGGGGGTGAGGGGGGGAGATGCGGGGGGAGGGAGGAGAGGAGAGGGGGGTTGCTGTGATGAAGAAGTGGGAATTGTTGCTTTTGTTGTAAAGAAGATTCTGGAATCTCTGAACACAAGTAATAGTATTTTAAATAATGAGAAAAGATTCCACATGGAAAGCTCATCTGGCTGTGGCAGTTTGTGACTGAATGAGAGAAAAGTGCCCTAGAAGCTATTCATTAGGAATTCACTGGAAGCTCTCAAACAAGCCTGGCAGAAGCTGAAATTGAAGTGGTCTCTGACCTAATTTTCTTCTGCATGAAACATCTGCATCAAGGCACTCTTTGATGTATTCCACTTGGCTCTGTCTACAGTATTGTATCACATGGCTTCAGCGTTGCTTCAGTTTTAAAAGACATTTCCAGCCTGTAGAAGGTAATGTGATGTTACTTTTACCCAAACTAATCACTCAATGTGCTCCCGAAATAGAAACAATAGAGGTTCAGACAACGATGTCTGCTTCGCAGTCGTTGTTGCTGCCTAAGCTCACGGTTTAAAAAACCCAGATCTGTGATATTCATCTCATGTAATTCATCAACACCAGGAAGGGGAGGGAGAAGGGGGAACTGTGAGCCTTCTGTGTAATAGTATGTCAGAGGACACAATGCTTTACATGTGTGAGCTTTGCATTCTTTGCTGCTCCAGACATACAGATAGTTTAGTGCATTGAAAACAAAAATAGGGAAATGTTGAAGGACATTATCATAAAACCTCAACAGAAGGAGCTCCTGGTTTTCATTTTGCTGTTTGTTCTCTGCTGATTGACACCCAAAGCTCACGGTGAAAGAAATGCGAGCATGTTTGTGTAGATGCGAGGACGGAGTGTGATGTATTTTGAATTTATATTTATATATTTCCCTCCTTCTTTTCTTTCCTACACCACAATACACATTTCAGATCCTCTCTCAAGCTCTTCTCAAAGTGGGGTGGAAAACCTAGCTATACAACAATCTCTCTTTGAATGTACATGCACTCACATACGCACACAGATAAATGCATAAATAAGAAATGATTATGGTCACTTCTTTATTCTGAATGAATAGATCTTAGCCTTCTCCAGAAAGGCTTTCTGCTCAGTCTTACCTAATGGCATGCTGCTGTTTCCCCAACCTTGCTTGTATTATCTGAATAACTGTGGCGTCTTTTGTATTCCACCCCCTGAAGAAGAATCCTTTGAAATTCTAAATGACTGTGCTGCGGATTTTAATGTCTGTCTTTTAGAAATAGCCAAGCAATACCCACTCATGGAGCAAGATGCAGCAAGCCTTTTGAAAGTTATTCAGCCTGCTTCCTCAGCCTCATGAGTGTGTGCATGTGTGTCTACATGTGCAGTTTAATTCTCTGAATGTATGGCAGGAATATATTATTTCCCTGTGAATCACTTTATCTCTCCTCCTGTCCATCTACTCCACCCCCCAAATCTCTCCTACTCTTGTTGGCACAGGAAAAATAAAGCTGACTGGCTGGGGAGCTCGTGTAGGTCTTGTGGATAAAGCATGAGATGAGTTGAAGGCTTCTCAGTATGGTTCCTCACAGAGATCACAAAGAAAAGGCATCAACCCTTCTGCTGCTAATTATTATGCCCCTGGGATAATCACAGCAGAAAACCCATGGCACGGGAGTCTCAGAATAACCTGCTCCCTGGAGTCATTTTCCCGGTTTAAGCTGAAAAACATTGGGTAGGCAGAATGGAGGAAAACAGACTAACTCCTGTCTGATTGCAGGTACCTGTGTCTTCTTTTGTGCCTAACCTCCTTTCGCTTGTGCTTCTCCTTTGTGCTTATGTGTCTTTCCCTCAGGGATTAGTGTAGGACTTACATCTGGTGGAGATGGTACAGTTAATTCCTTATGCAAGCAGTTGCTCTATCCCCTGTTGAGGTTGCTCATATTGCTGTGCTAGGAGTTGAGTGCATTTCGAGAGGCACTTCTAGTTCTGGAGAACTTCCTCCAAAGTGCATGGTCTTGTGAAATTGGGGTATAAAGGGCGAGGTGAAGGTACACAGCCAAGGTCATGCAGCCAGAAGCCAGGAAGCAAACTTCATCTCATCTTCTGATGATCAAAACGCAGCACTTTGCAGTGGGAACACCCTGTCTCATCTTCTGCAGACAAGCACTAGGCCTGCCCTCGGTGCCTGTCGCCAGCAATAAATCTCCTTGAACTAATTTTGTAAAGGACAAAGCCAATGCTGTACAAAAACAAAAAAGTCCCATAGCTTCTTGGCACCTCTGTTGTTTCTGGAAGGGCAGTGAGGAGCAGGGAACCCCTCTCTCACTGCATTCACAGATAACAGCCCCAAAGAGTTATTTCAGAGAGCATATTTAAATAAGAAAAGGCAAGGTCTCCCAGCGAGCACTGAGGCTGATTTACACTTCTGCGTGGACGTGGTTGGCTGCGGACGGTGCCTGGCAGAAGCTTATCATGCCCACTCTAAAAATAACCATCTCCAATGGGCAAGATCTGCTCACTCAGCCCCAGCCTTGGTTTGCAAGCAGTGACATGACATTCAAAAGTGGCAGAAAGACTCTTTGGCAGGTCTGCAGTGCTTAAAAATCCAGACAGGTCACAGAGCAGGGCTTAAAACAAGTGGTTTCTGCTTAGGCAGAATCCAGTCTGCTCCCCAAGAGTGGGAGGTGCTGAGGGCTGAAGTGTACGTTCCCCGGTTTTGTTTTTTGTTTTTCCTGCAGGTCGCACTGTTCCTCCCTTCTCCCTGCCCCTGCTTCTCTCTGGGTTTTACGGTTGTGGAGCAGATCTGCCCCGAATAGGGGAGGTCATGGCACCCAAATGTTCCCCACTTAGCTCCAAGTGCTTGTGTAAATTAAAGCTGTTTTGTTTCTTACTGGTTGTCCCAAGCTCTGGAGACCCCTGTTCTGCTGTGCAGCATGCTCTAGCCTCTTCACCATTGTGATGTTTCCTCCTTATCCACCCCCTTACATCTGAACCCTGGAAGACAAGCTGGGTTTTGTCTATTCATTTGGCAGATGGTTAGGTTCAGATCATACAGGAACATAATGTTAGAAATGGAGCACGTGTGTTTGTGTTTTGTGTAGTGTGAAAGGGATCCCTGATCATTTTCTTCCTCTGTGGTCCTACAACAGCTAGCAGTTTCATGCAAACTCCTGTAGGTAACAGGAATAATAAAATTTTTTTTTCCTGCTTTTTTTTTTTTTCTTCCCCAAGTCTGTGCTGTATATACCAGCAGTGTGGTCTAGGCCAACGCTGAACATTTGTGCCTTGGACAATAGCACAGCCTGGACTGACTATTATCAGCTGCTGTTTTCTGGTTAGCTTTCCTTTTATTCAAGTGCACAATGCAAGCCTTTATCACCCTTCAGTCATAGTGACTCTTGAGGAATACATCTGGTTTTCTCTTTCAGCAGCTCTGAAAAGGTCAGTCTGTTCATTTCTTATTCGCAGGACACCACATTTTTTTCTGAGCTGGAAAGACAGGCCTACACCTTTTCATTCCATCTTGTACATAATTAGACATGGTGTCGCTCTAGAAACCTACCCTTGAAATCCTCCCGAGTAACTCTTTCAGAGACGGGGGAGAAGTGGAGAGGGAGAGGGAGCGTGGGGGACCACTTCCATCCGGTCTTAAATCTCATTGTGTGGCCACAAAAGCACTTCCCCCAGCGTTGCCTGTATGCTTTTTTCCCCCTTCTCCTTCTTTTTCCCCCCCTTTTCTTTCCTGATGCTAGTGATCGCTTTACTGACAAGCCACATGTGATAGAAGCTCTTGCATAAAGAAGTCCACAGATTATTTGTGCAAACGCGATTGTAATCATTTTCACTTCAGCGACGTCCCACATTCTTCACGCAGGCTGTAACATAATAACAAGTGTGCCCATGAGGAAAGAGCTCGCAGCAGCTGGTGTCTGACAAATTATCCCGTTCCAGACAGGCAAATGGTGACTTGAGCTCCAGCAGTCAAATGGATGTGTGTTTGGTGTGCCCCTGTGTGCCGGGCAGGGTGGGCTAAATCCTCTGCTGGAGGAAATCGTCATGGTTCCCCCCGCAGTCCAGTGCTTTCACCTCCGCTGAAGGTGACTTTTCCTCCCCAGCTGCTGCTGGCCAGGTTCAGCTTAAGACACTGCAAAGAATGGAGGGCTGCGAGCCTGGAGGGTCCGAGGTGCTCCTCACAGGTGAGTGCCAGTAGTGTCTGAGAGAAAGAAAGGGGAGGATGTTCCATGAAATTAGCCACTAGCCGGTATGAAGCAAACTAGGAGTGTCAACTTAATTTCTGCCAGGCAGATGAGGTTAGAGCTGTTAAGACTCAGTCAAGGGACAGTTGGATAAAAACTGCTGGTTTATTACGTTATTCTGCCAAGACCAGTAGGATGTTGGAGTATGATTCTTGAACTCTTGAAAATTATCCAGATTGCAGAGTTTCTATTTGGTGTTCTTCCCCTATTTCAGTTTCACCTTTCTGTGCGTGTCCTTATTTCCATCATGTGGCAGGAAGCGCTGGTGCAGGCTAGAAACTGGGAGCAAACTATCTGGTTTTCTTTATGTCCACCACATCTCTCCAGGTGCTCATAGCAGTGTGGTTGTGGTCTGTCAGGGCTTCTTTCCTGGGATGAAATCCATTCCTCTTTTGTTCTTTGAAACGTTACCATAGGATTTGAGTACTTGGTGCAGGGCCTTTTCCCATATGGGGGCAGTCCTTACAGCTGAAATCTCATGATGTTAACCCTGAAACTTCAGAGATAAATAGCAATTACCAGGATTATTTTTCCCTGTTAGCAATTTCCAGCTCTAAGCTAAATATGCGTGTGCCCACCACTAGCACCTTGCTTTGCTGCTCACATGGAAGCTAACAGAGTAGAAGAAATACATTGTGAGAGAGCAATATCAAAATGGCTGACTCAGGTGTGATCAGAGACCTCCCGTTTCAGCTCCAGCCCCTTCCAGAGAGCTGGTAGGTTTCGTCCTGCACAGTGGAGACCAAAGACATTGGCTTACCCAAGGAGTTTACAGCAGAGTGGGAGGAGAAAAATGAGCTTAAGGAGGCAAATAAATTTTCCATCACGCTATACCACAGTACAAGCTTTCTGTGAGACAAGGAACAGATCCTCCTCCTCCTTCATGTATTTAGTGAGTCACTGGACCATATCTTCTCTAATGGGCAGCCCTTCTTCCTTGCTTTTGATAGCAGACTTGATCCACACACTCCGCTATGGCAGAAGCATTTAAGCAGCCAAGATTCCTATTTAAGTTTTGTATTTTAAAGCAAAGAACTGGCTAAGACAGAAGGAATTTAATTTCTGGAATCAAATTCCTTGATTGGTTTAAAGCTAAATATACTCTCTTTATATATACGTATATATACACACTATATATATATTTAAAATGAAAGACTTCTGAGATATTTTGCGATTTACCATCCTTAGCAGTGAATAATTGCGTTAGGACACAGAAAGAACATTTGAAATCTTTGATAAATCACCCACATGATAGCAGCTCCTAGAAATACTGTCAGACATAGGGGCTTATCAGAGTTTCTATCAAGGACCCTGATTTTCACTGGTTTAGAACAATGTGGTCTTAAAATCTGCCCATAGCTAAAACATATTTTTGGTCTTATCATACTGGGCTTACAGTAAATTGGAATAGAAATTAGAAAAGTGTAGAAGAGTTATGTGGATTTTTATTACCTCTTGTAGAAAGACATAAAAGTCTAGAATCTTGGCATGCTGCAAAAGATACTGTTCCTTTCATTCCAGCATCACATATCTGACAATTTATGGGGTTTTTTTTTTTCATGGCACTCATGATGCTGAATTATCACCACCTTGTCTCACACAATTTGTCTGCACACAAGATACCACAACATGAAAAGAAAAATCTGGACTAAGGCTGAAAGCCTGATGTATACTCATCCTCCCTATGTTCTTTCATTCTGGATAAGGATGGAAGATAGATCTTCCTTGAAAAGTCACCTCTTGCTAACATCCTATGCCAGTGAGTTTCATAAACTCTGCACAAAATATATTCATTTAATTGCTCATTTTGTGCTGTACTACAAGCACTGGGTTCTGTTGGTTTGTCTTTTCAGAATAAAGCAGGCCATGGTGATATCCTCCATCAGAATACAAACATGCAACAGTTTTATTTTTCATTTTGGACTAGAAGAGACCTCTGTCTCCAGGTGCAATTCTAATAGAAATAACAAGTAATGTAATAAATGACAAGTATGAGACACATCAGTAGATGCTGATTTAATTATTGGTTGTTAAAATAAACCTGTCTCACAATAGAGTCTGAATGTGTCAAGTAATAATTGACTCGATTATGTGAAAAAAAAAAAAAAATGATGATTATTTTGCTTTTGTTTCCTATTGAGAAGATGCTACTGTGACAAACCTGAAATACTTAATTAACATTTTTGAGAAAAATCAGCTTTTTTTGTAGTGGTAAAAGCCGTAAGGCCAGAAATGTTCCTTTGTGGAGGAATAGTTTCACCACAGCTGTGATAGTCTCAGGACATAGGCAAGGAAAAGTTTGTAGTTTCCAATGAGTGTTTCTGTCAGAGGTAGTCTAACAGATATACATCTGATTTGGCTCAGAGAAGTTGTTTTCAGCTTTGAAGTATTTCAAACATTTAGAGAAGTTTTTGAGAGAGGAAATCTGTTCTACTTTTTCCAGCTACATAAGGTTCTGTGTTTAAATATATGACCTCAGCTGGAAAATGTTGTCTTACCTTTCAGCAAGGTCATTTTGATATTTCTGGAATATTTTATTCAAAAAGCTTCATAGGTAATTTCAAGGTTTCATTCCAGTTGGTAGGTGAATGATATTAAATCTGTAAGCATTTCTCAGCAAATGAAAAGTTCTGCTTTTTGAGCAGACCTTCTACAAAGATGAACAAATTTATTCAGAAATAGGCATTGTATGAGGCTGCTTTGAAAATAATGCCTCCTGTTTTATTATATTGGCCTGTGACATCAGAGATGGATGTTGCTGGTATGGCAGTAGAGACTGAGCCTTCCCACCAATATACCATTATATTTTGTTGCTATGTAACAGTTGGCAACAGAAGGGCAGTCTGAGAGAACAGCATCTGACACAGAAGTGTATATGAAGAAAAAGTGTGGAACTGAATTTCTCCATGTGGAAATAAAAACATGGAATCATAGAATGGTTTGAGTTGGAAGGGATCTCAAGGATCCAGCTACTAAGTCAGTTTGCCTAAGTTATGATCCAACCTAGCCTGGAATAATTCCAGGGATGGGGAACCTGCAGCTTCTCTGGGCAGCTGTGCCAAAGCCTCAATGCTCCCTCAGTGAGAATTTTTCCCTTCCATCTAATCTAGATCTCCCCTCTTTTAGTTTAAAGCCATTTCTCCTTGTCCCATCACTATCTACCCCTCCAAAAAAGTTATTTCCCTCTTCTTCATAAGCTTTCTGTAATTATTAGAAACCACAATGAGGCTTTCATGGAGCCCTCTCTTCTCCAGGCTGAACAAGCCCATCTTCCTCAGCCTTTCTTAATAGGAGAAGTGCTCCAACCCTCTGAGCATTTCTGTGGCCCTCCTCCAGACCTGCTTCACATCTTTCCCAAACCTGGACACAGTATTGCACATGGGGCCTCACAAAGCAGAGTAGAGGGGAATCCTAACCTGCTGGCCACCACTCTTGAGTTACATCCCAGGATACAGTAGGCCTTCTGGGCTGCAATTTCCTTCTGCTGGCTCATGTTAAGTTTTTCATCTACCAGAGCCCCCAACTCCTTGCCAAAGGACTCTCTCAATGAGCTCTTCTCCCACTCTGTACACATACATACAATTGCCCCAATACAAGTGCAACATCTTGTGCTTGGATTTGTTGAACCTCATTAGATTTACATGGGCCCACCTTCTGAGCTTGTTCAGGTTGCTCTGGTTGCCATCTGTTCTGTCTCTGTCATATAAGTATCACTCAGCTCACTGATAAAGTGCAAGGTGCTGCGCTTGGGCCAGGGCTATCCCAGGCATTTGTACAAAACTGGAACTCCTTGACTGCAGCCCTGCAGGGAAGAACTTGGGGATCCTGGTGGATGAGAAGCTGGACATGAGCCAGCAGTGCAGTCTTGCAGCCTGTAAGGCCAACTGTGTTCTGGGCTGCATTAAAAGAGAGGTTGGCCAGCAGGGAGAGGGAGGTGATTTTCTCCTTCGACTTGGCTCTTGTGAGGCCCCATCTGCATTCAGGCCTGGGGCCCCCAGTACAGGAAGGATGTGGAGATCTTGGAGTGGGTCCACTAAGATGATCAGAGGGCTGGAGCACCTCTCCTATGAGGAAAGGTTGAGGGAACTGGGATTGTTTAGCTTGGAGAAGAGAAGGCTCATTGTGGCCTTCCAGTACTTGAAGAGAGCTTATAAACAGGCGGGGGTACTACTCCTGGGGTAGTTGGTAGTGATAGGACAAGATAGGACAAGAGATAGGAGAGATTTAGGTTAGATACTAGGATATTTTCACCCAGAGGGTGGTGACACACTGGAACAGGTTGCCCAAGGAGGTTGTGGATGCCCCATCCCTGGAGGCCAGGCTGGATGTGGCTCTGGGCAGCCTGCTCTTGTGGTTGGCGACCCTGCATATAGCAGGGGGGTTGAAACTAGATGATCATTGTGGTCCTTTTCAACCCAGGCCATTCTATGTTTCACTGATTCTATGATGAAGGTGTTGAAGATCACTGAATCCAAAACAGACCCCTGTGGAACACCATTCATCACTGGTCTCCACCTGGTCTTATAGCCGTTGACTACAACCCTCTGGCTGCAACCTTCCAACCAATTCATTATCCACTGAACACTTTACCCTTTGAACCCATATCTTTCCAATTTGTAGAAAAGGATGTGTTGTGGTACCATATCAAAGGCTTTACAGAAGTCCAGGCAGACAACATTAGTTGCTCTTCCTTTATCTACTGATGCCACCACTCCATCAAGGAAGGCCACCAGTTTGGTCAGGCACAACCTTCCCTTGGTGAAGCCGGGCATGTCTTCCTGGAGGATCTACTCCATGATCTTCCCAGATACAGAGGTGAGGCTTTCCAGTCTATAGTTCCCCATGTCTTCCTTTCTCCCTGTCTTACAAATGGGAATTTCCTTTTTCCAGTCACCAAGGACTTCACCTGACAGCCACAATTTTTGAGAGTGTGACAGAGT